TCCAATGTTGCGTGATCGCTAACATTGACGCAATGTAAATTTTCCAGACGTGAAATTTCATGTTTGGAGCGACTGGCTCACAACAGCTCTCATTTCAGAATCTACCGGGTAGGAAGCAAGCGCCTGCGCGCTCGCTCATGCACCGCGTCGTGCGACCGTCTGCAGCGGTCACCCGCTCAACCTTATTCTAATGTGTGCATGTCCTACTGCGGTGCTTATATGCGTGTGTGTACTACGTATGCGGGAGCAAACGCCTTCCCAGTGCGTTGCGTTGCGTTAGGCGCGATGCGTGTTGCATGCGTTCGAATGCGCTATCTTCCGAGTAGTCGTAAGCGCTTTTAATGCGCCTCTAGCCAACAGCGCAGTTAGGTTAAAGGGGGAGGGCGAGCGAACGCGAGCGCGAGCCTCGCTGAGCGCGTTCACCGATCGTCAACACCCGCCGATCAGGCGGGGGCGGGTCTGCGCGAGCGAGCGAAGGCGAGCGCTGCAACCCGACATTTTTTTATAGACACCGCGCCTGGCGGAGCCGAGGACTTAGCGTAAGGCACGAGGGCGTGGGGCACGCCGCGCAGCGTCGCCCCCCGAGCGAAGCGAGAGACGGGCGGGCCCCCCGAAGTGCCGTCGCTAAGTCCGCAGGCGAAAGCCAACGCGAGTGTCCTGACAACTAGGAATAGACAACACGTGGCGCCCAGGTAGAGCTGCGCGTAGATCCCGTAGAGCCCATTCCCCTGCTGCATGTGTCGGCGCGTACACCATGACGTGCTTGCCGCGTTAGCGGCGGAAGCTGTTGGCGCGTGATACAGCCTGCTTCGCTGTTGTGCTGTCGAGCTGTCGAGCTGTCGTCCACTATTGTCACATTGGTAAACCAAATATTCTGCTACGAGAGATACCGTAACATTGTGCAATGTTAGGCAGAGGCACCATTGTTGCGCTCAATGTTACGCAACGCCAACATTTCAATGTTGCTTTAATCAGTGCCTATCACGACATCCTTGGGTGACACTGCCGTCTGACCAAGCAGCATGAAATGACTGTGCTGTACAGTACAGCACAGTCATTTCACTTCTAACATCCCAAGTATGACAGCCCCCGTCGGTCGTCGCAAGGCACCAAGGTGCATCATGCCGGAGTGCACCAAGCAGGTGCAAACTCGCCGACTTTGCAAGGCGCACGGTGGAGGCGTGCGATGTAGCTCCCCGGGATGCTCCAAGCTCGCTCAAAGTCAACGACTTTGCGTCGCCCATGGCGGTGGTCGGCGCTGCCGTTCCACCGGCTGCATCAAACTTGCGCAGTACAAAGGCTTGTGCCTCGCACACGGAGGCGGAAGACGTTGCCGTGTGCCGGTCTGCCTCAAATACGTCCAAGTGCGCGGGTGTTGCAAGGCCCACGCCAAACTTCAGAGCGAAGTGAACACGTCTCTAACGTTCGCGTAGCCCGCTAACTCGACTCAAAAGGAGGTCGTGGATGTCCACTGCGAATCGGTTAGAGTCGTGCCAGCCACCCGGCCTTGACGACCTCAGAGACTGAAGACATGTTCAACTCCCCCAAGACCCCGGCGACCGACTGGTTCGCTGTTAACTCGCCACGCAGCGAGCCTGCGTGTTCCCGGGGTAGATGATAGCTTCCCCCTGAGCGTGCAGTTTGGTATGGATGATGAGCCAGGGCCACCGCTATATGATTGGCCGTCACCGTCGGCGACAGCCCTCCAGTACTCGTGTATCGTCCAGCTTGTCGGCAGCTGTACTACCAACGCAGGAAGGTACACCTATCGTTGCACAAGAATTAAAACTTGCGTGTATATACAAGTATTTTGATTTACCAAACAAAAAAGTTTAAGCGCAATAAGGTCAAGTCTAGGTTTCTCTTCTGGATGTGGCTCTAGTTCGTGCGTGGTTTCTTGCAGATATTGTGGATAAGGTTACCGTATGTAGCGGCAAGGCGACTAGAATGAAAGCGTGACTGCTAGCGATACTGGGCGCTGCTGTGTTTTGAGTAAGCTTCCTGAGTTGACCAGGCAATGATACCCACCGCGAACAGACTTTGTAAGAACCACGCGGGGTGAGTAATACACATTAGATGTAGACTACCTAAACTATCGATGACCTCAACTTAGTGTTCGCGCAAACAATTACTGTGTTGCTATTGTGAGAACCGGCTAAAACGCCCATCTGTAGCAACCCCTTATTAGATTTCAACCACTTATTGTGCTTTGCACGAACTTTGGCATGCGATTAAGGGCTCTAAACCAACGAGCAAATCCTTCCCGGTGATCATATCTCGCAGCCTAACTCTAAGTTAAAGTTAAGCTAATCAACCGCCAGTACCAAGCACAACGCAGAGCAAGAACGGAGCGGTTGCCATGTTGGAAAACACTGCAAGTTGCTGCTGTTGAAGTTGCAGGGAACTGCTGTTGGAGCAGATACGGGACGAGTCAGTTGAGGTAGTGTAGACTAACGGTCGCATGCATGTCTAGGAGAGAGGGAGAAGGAGTTTGGCCGAGGTCATTCCCCAGAAGACCTCCAAGTGAACAAGTTGCGTTTTGTGCGAGTGAGTTTTGTGGTGCCGCATTCCAACAGCCACTGCAAGAATAAATCGGTTGTCGCTGCAAGAAAACAAACTGATAAGGTCCCCGATAGAATGGCGCCAACTCCTTGCATAATAGTAAGCACCGATTTCGGCGGGGACGTTTTCTTTCGCTCTCTTCGTCGTGGCGTTAACCAAGCTCGAATTTCAGAGCACGGCATATAGTAGCAGTAGAAAATTTCTACTAGAAATGTTTGGTAGTGCAGGAAACGCTGACTTTAAAGCTGCTTGCAGCTCCTCGATATAAAAACAGGGATGTTCTTCAATAGTGTAGACGTAGTTTAGTATGATAGATCGCCAACGCATGTCAATCATCGACTAGAAAGCAATCAGACAAAGCGAGCGAGTTAGAATTAGAATGTCAGGGCCGTAGTATTGTCGGATTTACTCCAGCCATTCAACGAAAGTGAGCATAACTCAACGTTAACTCGCTGTCTTAGCAGCTATTCTATCTTAAATCGACGAGTTAGCCTCCTAACTCAATGATGGGCTAATCACCGTGATTTGCTAAAACAACGAATTACGTCGTTGTTTAGACAGAAAGCATGCAATGCACAATAATTAATCAGAGTACAAATCAGGGCTGAAATCGATCGAGATGCATCGATTGGCTGCGCGATTGCCCAGTAAAAGGTGGGCATTCTGCTCCAAACGTGGCTATACCGACTTGACTCCCACAAAAACGATCGCCTAATCTGCACATCCACTCACGTATGCATCGCAGGACGCGATGGATTTACGAATCCATCGAGTAAAATCAGGGTGCTAATCGATCGATTTACGACCAAAATAGGCAAAAGAAGCGGGTTTCACAATAACACTAGCGTTTGAAACTTTTTAATGTATCGTGAACCTGGCTAACATGGTTGCTGAGTTAGATTGAGGCTCGTTTATCTACCGAAAGCTGACTGGTGCGAAACGGTCGTCCTTACTTTTAAGTATATTTCCCAGAATTTTGAGTTATTATTGTGGAAGCCCTACGTGTCGTGGAGGCAGTAAAGAATGGCGAAGACTCTCGTGGTTGCCTGCCGTGGCGTGTTGCGGATCGAATAGCCGTGAAATACCACGTCACGCACGGCGCACTACCTGGACGACCTACGTGTAGCGACAGTCAATGGAAATTGGTAGAGCGAATGTGTATGTTGGAGCCGCAGGAGCGTACGCCCACGATATTACCAGAGTAATTCGTATAAGAGTATAATTATTGGTATAGACGAGAAGAACTTCTCGGTGGGTGCTACTTAATTGTGAGTACACTTCACTGACTTCCGAGTAATTCCACAAATCTTACTTGTGCCTCAGGAAAAATGCCATGCCCGGCATCGTCACCTTGGACGAGACCAGAGGAAGGCACAATACGAATGTATCTGGGGAAGTAACGCATCGATCCTCTTATGCGGACGTGAGCAAACTAATAGATAATTCAAGCGTCATCTAGCAGAAAAAAAGAAAAAAGTCCTAAAGGGTTTGTAGTACGTTTATTTGGCCTCGTGAATGGTATCCCAACAAAAAAAATCTTTAGAGAGGATTCATTAATTACAAGTTGGTACAGCCCACGAGATCAAGTGAAGTTTATGTACTCGAAAGTCCGAGTACATTGCTTCACATACCCAGAGAATAGACATCTGACGCAAAGGTTGGGCCAGCTTGCTGTTGGGCTCCTCCTGCCTTGTTGGCTGGAAAACATTCGGGAGCCACCCAATGCCACGCACCTGAGATCTGTACCGAGTTATCGCTGCTAGCGGCAGAGCTGAAACCGAAGTCCGTCACTTTTGCTTTCCTCAAGCGATGTCAGGTGGTTCGTACTCGCCACCCACGAGGTCGGCAGATACAGGGCGGGGGCCCTGCACCTCCTGTTGCCGTCGGCTGCTGTCCAAATGGAGACTTGACTTGAGCGTTAATCGCGTTCGTCCGGCGCGTGCTGTAGGATGCGTGGGCCTGGGCTCGAACTAACATTGTATCGGATTAGAGAGGTAACAGTACCGTAGGTATCATTCGCATGTTTAAGGTCATAATAGGATAGAGCAGATGTAGGGTGATTGTGAAAGCTTCTAGAAAGGAGCTTCCATCCACTCGAACTGCGGGGACGGTCACTTTTTGTTTAGACCCGCCATCCCCCCAAGCCTGGCTTCCTCTTCGTTTTGATATACTGGTAGCACTTGTTGGTCCAAGCAACCTGACAACGAGGAGCCCATGCCCACCATCGCCCAACTACGCGCCGAGATCGGTCGGCTGAACCAAGCGATGGCGAGCCGCACGCGAGTGCCGAGCAACCTGCCGAAGTTCACCGGCAAGCGAGGGGAGGCTGTCCGCGAATGGCTGTTCCAGATCGAGAACGCCTGTCGAACACCATCCCGATCGAAGACGCAAGCACCCGACTTCCAGGAATCGCGGGGTGGCATTGGAGAAGCCTGCCTCCGGCTGGTTCCTGCACTGGTCGTCGACGAATCGAAGCGAGGAGCACACGTGGGGGATTTTCCGTGAGCATGTGCTCCAACACTTCGAGGCGTCGAACTACCAAGCTGTCTTGCGCGAGAAGCTTCAGTGACTCAAGCACATCAAGACCAACTACTTTCTCTGGAAGAAAGAGCAGGATAGACAGGGAAACGGGCAACCACGTCAGTGAAGGAGGGTCTTGTCATGGCCGAGAGCGTAACCAGAACACTTCCGATTGAGAATATCAGCCTTAACGTTCTGTGTGAAAACCCTCTGGTCTACAAGTCACGTCCGCTGTTCTCAGTAACGGGTGAGATCAGCGTGGGTGACAAGTGTCTCGCTACATGCAGCATGTTGCTGGACTGTGGAGTCACCACGGTCTACGTGTCGAAGCGTTGGGTCGAGGAGCACCAGCTTCAGACAACCAAGTTCAGCGACAAGAACATTCGCGTGAAGCTTGGAGACAACCAAATCGTGTAAGCGGAGCTGGAAGTTCTGCCGTTGAAGATCCATGTGTCGGGTCTTGACGAGGCGTACCAGTGTGTCGCCGTCGTCTATGCGATACCCGACGAATTCGACTGCATCCTCGGGATACCCTTCTTTGAGGACACGCAGCCCCAGATTGACTGGAGAGGTCGACGAATTGAAGGAACAAGAGAGAAGACTCTGCACTGGAAGCGAGCAGGTGACACCTGTGGGCCGATCGAGGAAGGTGGACCGGTGATTGCCTCCGGGAGGTACCTCGACGGCAACAGCGGGAAGGTGGAGTACTACCACAACTTCATTTTCGCCGCTACTGCCCTGCAGTTGACCGGAGACAAAGGTGAGTACCAGGATCTCATCACGTGGGAGCAGCTTTCTGACGCGGCACGCAACGCGCTGATCGAAAAGGATTGGGGCACAACCCTTTTCGACTTGATCGGAGCCAAGATGCCTTTGAAGGACCAAAATTTCAACAAGACCCTCAAGGCGGCGTTCCCGTTCTAAGCGGGTGGTGCCGAACTCTACGATGACAGCACGATAGAAGTGCGTCTTCTAGATAAATATACGTAACTTGCGAAGAAGAAGTTTTTTTTGTCTTCGCCGTACGCTGAGCTTCGCACTTTCTCCTGCTTGTATTGCGCAAAGTAGCTTTGAATGCAGGACGAATGCTACTGCACTGGTAAACGTACCTCTAGTCCGGTATCGACAACTGAGTCGAGTATCGGGGCAAAGTACACGTTTTCTTTCATCTCTCGAGAAAACTTCTATAAAAATTGACAGTAGGGCCTCTTCTTTGAAAAAAAGGGTCGTAGTGTCAATTTTACTCTGATTGGATAAAAATTGCCATTGTGATATACTATTGGTCAATATTGAGTTTGATGCAGATTTTACCCTAATTAAGTGCGCTACCAAAGGGTATTGATCCGCTACACGTATACTTAAGTAACAATTAAACGGAGCACAACGCGAGATGCTGAAGTATTTTATGAAGCATTGTGAGCTCAAGCTTCGACCCGAGTTCACGCAGGCTTGCTTACGCTGAAGCAGCTGGCGAGAGGGAATACGCCTTGTAGTGCGTGATTGTAAAGGTGCATCAAGACATGCACCCGTACAGGAAATTGGCAATGGCAAGCTGCCAAGTGATTCTAGGCAATCATGGCGAAGGCCGAGACTGTTTCAATAGTACATGTACGTACTGTAACTCCGATCTTCCTGAAGATGCAGACTTGGACGCACCCTGCCTCATTATTCCACAGCATCCGGTGCAGTAGGGCAAGCACCTTCTCCGGACCAAACGCGCCACTTGCATTCAACGTAACATCCTATCGCAGGCGACACAAGCCGTGCAGGTCTGTATGCGAGCTCGACTAAGGCCGCAGCGGCCGTCAGCTCTTGACCGGTGTTGTCCACTTGAAGCCTTTTGTTCAACATTATTATGCTCCAACATCTGTATACTTGTTGATTCGGAGCCAGAAAGCGACATCCTGGACGTCCAGACTATCCAAAAACATGAAGCACGAGATGTGTTTTCGGTCTCGCTCGCGAATCAAAATGCAGGACGTGATTGAGGTTCCGCCCTCGACGCGTCTACCGACCGATATCCGGTGTTAGCATTTGGATGTGGTTGTCCGTGTGGTGCCGTTCAGACGCGAGTGGTCGTCTCCGTTCGACTGTTGAGCTCATTCACTAACTTGCCTCGCTGCCGCTAAGCCGACAAACGCTAGACTCAAGACCCAACAATGCGTCTGCACTACGCTCTTCTGGTGGTCGTGGCCGTCCTTGCGACGTGCAGCAGCGCCGCCGCGGTGACTGGAGCAGCGGACGACGTCAAAATCCTGGCCACTACGTCGGAGACCCGATTCCTGCGCGCGGCTGACACTAAGACTGCGGACGACACGAGCACCATCAACCCCAAGGGCGAGTTCATCGAACACAAGCTGCAGCGAGCGCTGACCAACCCGAAGAAGACGCAGAGGCTCTACAAGACGTGGTACAACAAGGGATATACCGCGAAGGACGTCGCCAACCAGCTTGACGACAATGAGAGCAGAGAGCTCGAGGCGACGTACAAGGCGCTCTACACGGGCTACGCCGCCTACGTCAAGGAGCAGCAGTCGAAACAATGAATGCTAAATGCTACACCGATAGAGAAATAACGATTATCAAGTACACAGTTGCAAACTCGTAGCCACTATTTGTTAAGTTTCCGGGTACTGTTCCGACCACCGAGCTCAGGACGACTCAGTTCCAATTTCTCACTCTTAATCTAGGCAACCGAACCGCTAAGCACTGTGGGAAGTACCGCCACTTCTCCATTCAACTCGCGTGTTTTGGTCTCTCGGGTCTGTCGTCATGAATGTTGCATGGCGCTATTGCCCTCGGTCCATTTGAACTGCATAACGGCGCCACGCCTACATCTGTAGCTTCATCCTTAGCCATCCGATGTTGTCTGGGACTTGTCTTCCTCCAGTGGTGAGCAGCTTGGTTCACACACCTATTGAGCGCATTATCGCTGCGGTACGGAAAGCTGCTGTTCGTGAGGACGGCGGTGCAGCAGAAATGAGCACTTACAGCCTGACGTATGTGACCTATTTGGTATTCTTCTCAATCCGCTCAACAATGCGGAACTGTGGGAACTGTACTGCACTGTGTCGCACTGGTTGGAAATGCATGGTCGACAGCTCTGTTGTTCAGCGGCTGGTCTGCCGTTCTTCCGTGTTCGAGTGTCTACATGTATTCAGCGTCGTGTTCGCACGTACACTACTGTACTGTACGAATAGATTGCGCCTTCCTGCGAAGCATCCAGAGCTTCACCGGCTAGTAATTTACGCGCGGAAGCAGACCATTACAGCGCATTCACGAGGCGACACAATCAGTGCGATTTGTCTATAAACGGTTAGATTTCGATCCAAAGCTTTGACGGGCTGTGGACGACTTGAGCCGCGTTGTCATTTCGCAACGCTGGCGCTCCATTCATATTGTCCACAGTATCTGCACCTGTGCACAAATACGTACGCATCACTTGTTCATTCAGACAACACCGTAATCTTTCCCGCATTAGCTGTACCTCAGACGTTTCACCCCCACGTTCCGACGGCTGGAGGCAAGCGCGTTTCCCGGTGTTGATGGTCTTCCGTTCACTGGCGTCGCGTCGCCGGATCTGCTTCTCAGTTTCCTGGCCGACAGGAGCTCATTCTCAATTTCCTGAGCAACATCCAAGCCCCAATAGCCCCCAACTAATCATGCGCCTCCAGTTTTTCTTGGTGATGGCCGTGGCCACTCTCGCCACTATTTCGGCAACAAGAGTCCCCGACGATGCCAATCTCCAGTCCGTTAATGCTCCAGTTCAGACAGTGACAAGAAGCAGACGATTCCTGCGTACTGCTGATACGGATATTGTCTACGAGCCCAAAGTTCATAATCCTGGCAAGAAGCAAGTGTTCATCGAAGACAAGCTTCAGAAGGCGCTGACAGACCCCAAGAAGAACAAGAAACTGTACGCGCGGTGGTACAACAGCGGATTTACCGTGAAGCAAGTCGAGGGTGGATTGGACCAGAACGAGAACAGAGAGCTCGAGCTGACGTACAAGAACCTCGCGCTGGGCTATGCCAAGTACTATCAAGCCCGGCGATCGCAAGAGGCCAAGTGAGGGAGGAAAAATACGATACGATTATAGTGGAGCAAGCAAGGATTTACCCGTTGGTAGGTAAAATCCGTCGAAGAGTTGGCTCAGGCAGTTTTGTGATGTGAATTTAACGTGGAAGTACAGGTGGACTTCATTTACTCGTGAGCCTGTCTGTTTGGTCGCTGGAATAGCATTCGCAAGAGCGATAATTCACTTTCGCGCCAATGCACAATGAGTTGCGGTGAAATTGTAATCTTTCTTCGTAATGATAGCGCCTTGACCGGGGCATTCGCCACTCTATAATCAGTCTTGCTCATTCCTTTCTGTTTCCTCTCCATACTGATGATCAACCTTTTGACGTTTGATCGTGGCAAGGGGGGACACGTGCTCTACCTAGGCTCGTTAAACTAGGTGACTGTCATCACGAGTTATTGGGCGTTCGCGTGCCGTTGTTTTATCGGACCCGCTGGTCCGCGGGCTCAGTACGCCTTGTGTTCGTACCAGGTGGTGTATGTCCAACAACCGTCGAAATATTGCGTTGGAGTCCTCGCCCTTGACTATGGGGCCTCATCATCATGCGGCGCGTGACGCCAAGAATTCAACTGGGATGCGAAAGGAAGGCTTTTATAGGCGACGGCGTTCCAAGCCACCGACTCGTCGAAAGCCGATTCTGCGCCACAAGACTCAAGTAAATACCGTCTCCGATTAGCCATGACGCCAGCTCGCAGAGTTCGCAGCAAGGTGCCACGATGCAGTTTCCCCGATTGCAAGAAGCAAGTGCAGACCCGTAAACTATGCAAGGCTCACGGTGGAGGAGTTCGCTGTCGTGGCCCCGACTGCACCAAGTTGGCGCAAAGCCGAGGCCTCGCGTTGCGCACGGTGGCGGATGCCGCTGTACGGTCAGTGGCTGTCCCAAGTTGGCGCAGTCCAGGGGGTTGTGCCTCACTCACGGTGGCGGTCAACGCTGCCGCGAGCCAGCCAAAAGTTTGTACAACTCAAAGGGCGATGCAAGGCACACGCGAAGGCTTTAGCGAGAAGTGACGACGCACAGCCCATATTAAAGAATGCAGGATCCAAGTTCTCCATCGCATTCCTCGTGAACCCACTCGAATCGCCTGTGTTGCCTTCCGATGGAGACGATAGCAAGTTATGCAGCGCGGTAGATAGGTGAGAGAGCAATTGTCTTCGTCAGCAAATGAAGTTCTATCATTAGTGGCACAATTATATTGATACGAACTCTCACAATAGTTCTTCAAAGAAATACCCCTCTCTGTATGAAGCCGGTCATCAATCTTGATTCTTTTCGTCATATACAAGAACTAAAACGTTAGCCGAGAAGAACGATTAGTATTCTGTCGGCCGAATCATGCTAATTTCTTATAAGCTATTTTTTGCGTGGAAGGCAATCCATGAGCTACAGCAAATACATGTACAGACCCTGCGTCGAAAGATTCGCCTACTATTTCTTCCCGATGTTTCGAGTTGGAGCATCGAAAATAGTAACCAACGCCATTTGCCGCGAAGTGAACAAAACGAGGAATTTGGTTCGAGCAAGCAGTATGCACAGAATTCAAAGCATTCAGTATAAAAAATATCATCGCTGGATTTATATCTGCAGAACCTTTATTTTTCAAAGAACGCAGAAGTGATGCGTTCAATATCTGCACTGTAAGGTGCCGCAACTATAGAAGCAGGGTCGATTGGCTAGCTTCTAAGCATTAAACTCGACAAGCTGGCCGGCCACCCTAGAAAATGCCCTTTACCCACGAAACCGCCTTTTGCGTCAACTTGTACTGCACGAAATGCGTCGCCACGAAATCGAACAGACCCCTCTCCTTGCTGCCAGAGCCAGACTTTGTCTTCTTCTCCAGCTGCCCGAAGTCGTAGACCTTGGACGGATCTGTGGGTGTCGAATCCGAGACCCGCGAGAGGCTGTTCTTGTCGATAGTAATTACCATCGTGCCGGTGATGAACGGCACCTTGTACACGAACATGTCGTTGCCGTCGTCCTCAGCGAGCTCCCGATGCGGATCAAGATTCGACGGTCGCAGACACGAGGCCGTTGTTGCACGCAGCGAGAGCAACGCACGTCGCTAGCAGGACTTGGGTGATTTGCATCGTGAATGGGGCGACGATCAGCACGCGCATGACGATAGCTTGCACAAACTCCCAGTTCGCACTTGTTAAATATTCCAGTAGAACGAACGGGAGTTCATGCACTGCTACCAATAAATAGAGGGTGAACTCCAATTTACGCTTCGCCAACACCCGTGCAGCTCCACAAGACAGCGATAGATAGAAGAAGCGAAAGACCAGCACGAACGCGAGCGAGAGAGACTCCACCCAATTCTCCAGTTCGTGCATTCTCGTGCCCAGATTGACGCCCGCGACTTCGAGCGCAGTCCCGAGCACGTCGATCCAACTCGCGAGGATCAGCACCTCGGCAGCGTGCGTGAAGTGGACGATAGAGCGAAGCTTGACTTTCTTGGATACATCGCGACCGATGATCGTGATCTGGATCGTGAACGTCAGCTGCAGACACGTCTCCGAGATGTCGTTAAACTCCCACAGCGTCTCGTATGTCTCGTGGGAGTAAATGTGCGCGATAAAGGCGAGAAAGGAGGCCACGAACAACATTTTCACTCGGAACTCGCGACGCCGCAGCCAATAGACAAACACCAGGTACTGGAACACCCAGGCGTCGAGCACCAACACAATCGGGAGGAGGATTCCCCTCGACAAGTCTTCCAGTTTTTCTTGCGTAATAGTCATCCAGCTTCACCGTGGAAGGTTCCACGGAACCTAACGTGGTGGTCGATATGGTTGACGTTAAGTAGCTCTGCGAGTGCTGTCGTCATGCATAACGTGCTTGGTGCTGGCAAATGAATAGCGCATGCTGCGTCCAGCTACCATTCTAATCAGCCATGCGCTTTGGGTCAGAACTTGAGGCTGAATGCGTAAGCCGTTGATCACAAGGCTGTGACGGTATTCCTGTGTCCTTGTCGATGTGGTGTATTTGCACGGAATTCGTAGCTGAGCGAGACGGTATTTTAGTTAAATAAAAAATAAATGGTGGTTGTTTCGGGAGAATATTATTATCTGTTGCTAATCTACTGACGCATCTGTTGTAAGCAAATCAACGGAAAACCTGTTGCCCGTGTCGGGTTATCTGTTGCGGGTGTAGGGGAGCTAAGCAACAGGTTTTCCGTGATGAAAATGCACAACAGATACTATGAATGAGCCTCCTGGATTATCTGTCACATCGCACTACACCATGTAGTCGAATGACAGCCGGAGTGCTTGCGCTGTAGTATATTTCTATGGCCAAGATATGCTGATACTACATTATCAACGTGATGCCCTTCATACGTCGAGTCATATCGGAATTTATTTTTGTGTGTATATTTAGATGCGCAGTAGTCCAGTGGTTACAAAGCTGTTGTCTTCTCCAGGTCTCACTTTCCAGCCTGAGGCATCATGGAAGGTAGCGCTTCCGCGGCCGTGCCTTGCACTAGCTCAGCTACAACGGGGAACGCACGCTCCGTGGAGGACAACGTTGGTGACAGCGCTGATGAGGATGAGCAACTGGACTCGATTTGCCAGCAGCTAGATTTTGGGGACGACGACGAAGTTGAGATCAATGTGGGTGTAGATCGCGGTGCTTTAGAGTTGGTGGAGGCTACCGTAGCGAAGTATGTGTCGGTGGGGTTCTACGATTCGCTACAGGGGGCGACCGTGGCACTACAGCAACACAACGAGTTTGAATACACCTACAAAACTCGGTACACCTCCAAAAATGTCACTGGGACTGAGTTCAAATGTCGCTCGCATGCTATGTGCCCCAGCCCCCTCAAAATTGTTGAGCGGAAACTTGGAGCTAACTTAGTTCGATACGAGTTGTTGCAGAAGGGTGAGCACGGTGATGCTTCTGTCTCGCGCACGCGGCATGGTATTGCAGCTGTTCACAAGTCTGAAATTGACTCACTATTGGAGTTAGGTATGGGAGCAAGTCGAGTACGCAATATGTTGTTGCACAAATATCGACGCGATCCTGACCTTTTGAATTTGGTGCCTGAGGTTCGTAAGATCGAGAATAGAAAAGCGACTATCAAGAAAAATATGGAGGAAGGCTGGGATATTGACGACTTCAACACAATTGACATCTGGGCACACTCGCGATTGTGTCAAACCCGTGAAGTTTTCGACTCTGCCGACGAGTCAGACTTCGCAAAGATGAACGAGTTGCTCGTGCTCGAGCGCTTCCAGCACAATTTTGACGACAACGGAAAAACGAAAGCTTCGCTCGGCTTAATCATGACCTCGCGAGCGCTATTTCGTAACGTGGCAAAAGCGACAACCTCTCAGAGAGGCAGTCTTGCGATGTCGACGGACGGCACATACCGAATTCCATTGTGGCAATTGGACGTTGGTGGATTGCGGTAGGATCTCTGTTGAATGGGAGACAACTCACCATGTTCAGCGATTTAGGCCCTGGCTGTACATGTTTGTCCGGTCGGAGTGCACTTTTGCATACGAGCAAATGTTCGGTGCGCTCATTAAATACGGACGCATGTTTCTTGACGTTGACGTGAATTTAGCTTGCTGCAGTATCGATCACTGCAGTGCTATAGCTCGTGCGCTGGAGACCGTCTGGCCGGAAGTGATCATTTTGTCCTGTTGGGAACATCTTCTGGGGCAGGCCAGAAAGCAGCGCTCAAAGCTAGTCGGCAAAAGCTTCTACAAGAAGTACGCACTTCCTCAGCTGAAGTGGCTTCGCGAAACGCGCTCCCTAAATCAATTTCGCAATCTCTCGAAGTGCGTTGTGCGGTGGTGGAAGTTAAAAGGAGAGACCGCGTATGCGGAGTGGCTAGAAGATGTTTACCTCACATCGCGATGGGAGCGGTGGAGCGTAAACAGCAGTCCGATACCAGGAGTCTTGCCAACACAGCAGGCCATTGAGAGCCACCACAAAGTGATAAAAGAGGTGATCACAGCCTTTGAGAAGGCCCCGACGATTCACGTATTAAACTCTGCTCTGCCCAGACTCTTAATTCTTGGTTCGGATACGTTATCGGACGGCCCTCAGGGTTATTTCTGCGAATGTGAGTAAATTACATGCTTTGAATTGTGACATTATACTAACGCGTGCTGCTAAATTACACTTGCACAGGCCCTTTGCCGAAGGATGCAGTCTCTAAGGCCAAGTTGTTACTGACGTTGCCAGAAAATCATCGTGAAATAACGGAGCCCGGCCAACGTGGCATTCCCGTTCGAATCGTATCCAACAGTGGTAACGCCATTGTGCGTTCGAAGAACTTGGCTGGGTCTACGGTCACTACCACGCGCTCGAAAACGTACGTTTAAATATTGCGTTTACTTTCTACCAGGTTCATTATGCTAATTGATGATTATATACAGCTTTGTTTCGTCGCTAGAAGGTAGTACAGGAAGACTGCGCCCATCTTTGATATTTGGACGAAGTTTCTTTCATTGCAACAGGTGTCGGTCAACGTCGAGCGCGCACGAGCGATGCCAGAGTTTCAACTTCGCCCTACTTGGCCTTTATCCGACGTAAGATTCATGTTCCATCTGAATTTATTGTTTCTGAGTCTAATATCTTACGATGGCACCTGAACATTGAAATGGTTCGAGATACACTCCGATGCACCTGCAAGAGTTACATGCACTCTGGCTGGGTCTGCTCGCATGTGATTGCCTCCCTCAAACTGCTGAAAAAGCTAGATTTGGAGCTTGCAACAGAAGTTATCCAAGCACGGAGGTCTCCAGGCCGACCTCGAGCACCGGTTGGAGCCCGTCAACAAGAGCCGGCATCTACCAACTTTTGGGATCCCGATCGGCTTGAAGCCCTTCTTACCAAAGAGCCTTACACTCCTTTGCAGTGGGCTTTCATTACACAAGTTGACGTTCAAAAGGAAGGCCAAGCTTCTACTTTTCGCGAAGATCGTATTGGTACAGTTGGCGGTGTTCGACTGTCGGAGGAAGACGGGGTTTTCGAGTGGAGCGTGGCCTTCGTTCACGGCGACGTGCAATACTACCAAGTAGACGACTTGGTGCCCGGACTGATACGTGCACACGAGCAGCGAAATATTTAGGCATCTACTCTGTTGCCGCCACAGCCTCAAATTGCATTTCGATTAGCATTCATGGATACAACACATATACCGACTACACTCTACTTGTTATCTGTTGCGCATTTTCATCGCGGAAAACCTGTTGCTTAGCCCTACACCCGCAATAGATAACCCGACACGGGCAACAGGTTTTCCGTTGATTTGCTTGCAACAGATGCGTCAGTAGATTAGCAACACCTAATAATTACGCCCCAACTTGACATCAGCTCGCGCGCGCTCCGGGAGCACATGGCCCCCGTGATCCAGAAGCACGTGCGCGTGCTGCAGCGCGTGCTCACGGACGTCGCAGCGGCTAAGATGCCCATCGACATGTTCAATTACTCGGGGCGGTTCACGCTGGACGCGTTCGGGGAGATCGCGTTCGGCTTCAACATGAGCACGCTCACGCTGCAGCGCGATTAGCACCCGTTCGAGCGCGCGTTCGTGGACGCGCAGCACATCGCGGCCTCGAGGCTCGTCGTGCCCACGTGGTACTGGAAGCTCAAGCGCTCGCTCAACGTAGGGAGCGAGAGGCGTCTGCGCGAGGCGTTGACCACTGTCGACCAGTTCGTCATGGACGTCATCTCCAAGACCGTGGACAAGCGCAACGCGCCAATCAGCGACGCCGAAGACAAGGTGCACACTCGTGGGCGCGACATTGTGTCGCTCATCCTGGCCAACGAGACCGTGGACGGCACGCCTGTGGACCCCATCCTGGTGCGCAATGTGGTGCTCATGGCGCTGATCGCTGGGCGTGACACGGCTGCAGACGCGCTGGCGTGGCTGTTCCACCTGCTCACGCTCAACCCGCGGGTCGAGGAGAAGCTGCGCGCCTATCTGCTGGCCAGTCTGCCCAAGCTGGGCTCGGACTTCGACTATGTCCCGGACATGCAGGAGGTGCAGAGCCTGCCGTACTTGGAGGCCACGATTAACGAGGCGCTGCGGCTGTACTCGCCCGTGGGGCTGGCTCAGAAGCTCTGTGTGCGCGACACCGTCTTCCCCGATGGGACGTTCGTACCCAAGGGGTCGAATATCGCGCTGGTGTATCACGCCATGGCTCGCATGCCAGGGGTATGGGGCCCCGACGCTGCGGCGTTCAACCCTGAGCGCTTTATTGACCCTCAAACGGGCGAGCTCATCAAAGTGTCGTCCGGCAAGTTCAGCGCCTTCAACACGGGTCCGCGCGTGTGCGTGGGGCGCAAGTTGGCCATGATGGAGATGAAGATGGTCGTCGCGTGTGTGGTGAGCCGCTTCCGCTTCGACGAGGTGCCTGGACAAGATGTGGCGTGCGGGGGGCGGCCTGACTATCGGCATGAAGAATCCGCTCATGATGCGCGTGCAGCAGCTTGCTCCAAAGGAAGATGGAGATGAAGTTGTAGTGGGGGTGGCTGCCTGAGCTCCTCGATACAAAGGATACGACACCGTTAGTAGGAATGGATATGTAGGCCTTGTTACACTTGGTGAATATAAAGTAAGGCCTGGTTAAGTCTCACCTTGGTGTGTTCTACTCGACGATCAACCTCTGCGTTGTGCAGCCATCAGCATTGGTATCGGCACCTCACATGCAGAGCCACTGGTGTACGTAAATTTCTCTCATAGAGCTCGCTAGTCCGTGAAGCAGGTCCGCATCCAGCTTTCACCTTCTTCTTAGCTTGCTCGTCAATAACTCGTCTCCATAGTACACGTCTTGGAATGACTTTAGCGTCTGAGCAGTATAGCACCACGAGACAAGGAGCTCTGAGCCGATGAATGCATTCGTCACCAGGTCCAAGCGCCGAGTTTCTCCAGCTACCAGCATACCGCTGCGATCTTTATGAGCGCGCGCAGTAGCCTCCAGTGCATCAACTCAGGATGCAGACCGTAATGCACGCAGCTAAATCGTCCTGTCGCCTGCATTGTTTCGAGTTCACGAACTGACAGGAGCGCAAGCTTCAACGCTTCCTTGCTCCTCAACTTGGGCTACCATCAGCTCCCCTCGGCCTTCGACTCAAGTCAACTTCTACAGAAAGCGTCTTGCAGTGGCCGCGTCAGCTGTAGGGGGAATCAGTTGAGACTGAATCACCACAGCAGTTCTCTCCACAAGACACACCTCGCAGACCCTGTCTTGAATTACAGTACTAGGTCCAGCTCAAGTCATGCATGAAACTCCATTGCTTGCTTTAGCACTCCAGCTGACGGCGCAGTCGCTGACGATCTTGAAATCCTTGCTACTGTAACCCCTCTCTCGCCAGCACGAGCGCCTTCCAGAGGTAGACTATAGGCTTCGCAGCAGGAAGATACTGATCACGACATAGCGGTTTGTCCACTGGGTCTCCTTTGCAGTACAAGATGCACCACAACCCTGAGGCAGGCTGATGTCGGCTTGTGTACAACACACAGCGACCTGAAGACACAAACTTCATCGCCAGCGGTCAGTTGCCTCCACGTGCCGACAGAAACCAGCGAGTTAATCCAGCTCAGATCGAGTTTACGTGACTGCCAACCCAGCGAGAAGCAAAGCGTACAGCTTACACTCAGTCTGACAGCGCAAATGATGAATCTCGTCGATGTAAGTTTCTCGCGAGAGCGTGGGCCGCAGCCGGAGGGCAGCGTGTGTGGCGTTCCAGCGGAGGCTGACGGTCAGCTTGCTGAGCGGCATGACGCCGGCAACGAGCACAAGGGAGCCAACCCGGTCTCTGTCAATCATTCCAAAAAGGGCGCCAAGCGCCCGCCAGCTCAACTGAATAGCTCGTAAAACACGACGCACTTATGTGACTCAGTGACCCCGACGAGTACGCGAACGCTGCATCCAAAGCAAAGATACAGCACGCGCTCCTGCTTGACAGTGCTCACCAGGCACGGAGTGCGGCGAACAAGTGCACTTGCGAGGCGGCCGTGCCTCCTTCTTAGACGGTAGACTCGTATTGCCATCAGAGAAAGCGAATCGACAATATCAAGAGGGGATCTCGAGAGCATCGTGGATAACTCGTCCATGAACCGGGGGGGCGATTTTTCATCATCATGGCTTCGTTTGATCGACGGGAACAAAGTAATAGAGACGACGGCACCCTCATCAGCTCTTGGTTCTCATCTCAAGTTGACTCGGTATCTGCTGTCCAGAGCCCACACAGTTTCCGGCTCAACCACCACCTCGCACGTCATCAGAATCGTACTGCGGAAGACGCTGGGCTTAACAACATCGAGCCAGCGGCGAAGGCTCGTGATTGCTGCCCTTCATAGTTGCCGACCATGCCGTTATCCAGCACCGCGTTCTCGGATCCTTGCACACCTCCAACGACTACCTCCAGTCCTCAAAAGCCGGCGCTGGGGCGTATTCTCCTCCATCCTGGCCAAGCCCTTCTCTGAGGCCGCAACCTGCAGCCAACGCGTTGTCAACATCCGGTCTATCTCTTGACGCAGTGTATGGTGTGATCCAACGAGCGCCCTCGCTTCCAGCAGGCTTGATCCAAGCTGCAGGCCCCCAGCTCTCACTTAATCATCAGCACCAAGAACTGCTGAAACGTGTTTAGGATGAGGCGTGTGCAGCCTGTAGTTTTCGCAGCAGCGGCGTCTGAACTGCTGAAACAATAAAACACACTGAGTTGGTAGGCTTCCATAGATCTCACTTGCTATCAGTTGGTCTGCCGCTGAGGGACGTAAGTCCTCCTCATACATCGCAGTGTTCGCTCAGCGTCGACGCCTTTAGCTTCTTGGTGCAAGACACGAGTCGGCAGCTTAATCATTGACCGGTATGTAAGCACTCAGGCACAATACGAGGCGCCAGCGCTTGATGCCACCATTCTGCTTCTAACCCAACACTCAGGTGATCGATCGCCAACGACCGGAAATCCGACGATGCAGTGGCGCCTTTCGAAGGCTGTGCTAGCCAGCTTGGATGAGCAGTCAGGCATGCTAGTCAACAACTTGTACAGGTCTTGAATTAGGTTGAAAGTGGCAACAAGACAGCGTCAGTAACAAGTAGCTGTGTTTCCATCACGCGACCAAGTCCTTCCAGCCCCAGGCAGTTGGATGACGAGCCTCATGGCGGGCGAAGATACCAGTAGAGTGGTGGGCAACCCTCAGCATTTTTAACCGGAGCAGCTCGTAAAAAGTAAGCCACGCAGAAAACAGCAGCAGAGAAATCCACAACCCAAAAGACTCAGAGTGGAGAGGCTCACTCTGAATAACATCGCACGATAATTCGTACAGGAACTGAAGCGGCTGTAGATTTTCAACTTCATCGCTTGAACACAGTGCACCGACGAGGAACAGGGCGCCAGCGTCAACATCATCATCTTCTTCTTCAGTTCTTGATCGTCATCTCAACTTGACTGGAATATCTGTTCTCCCGTTCTTGTCTCCACTGTCTTCCACTTCCATCAACAGTAGGCGCCCGCTAGGGAGTACAGCATCAAATCTCACGGCAGGTGGCGCCCGACGCAGCAGTCGACTCCACCACTCAGACAGGTGTCTTCCAGTGCCAAGAGTATCGACAATCTGAGTCCTCTCCACTTCCAGCGGCAATTATCTGCCTCTATGCGGCCCGCGGTCTCTCCTCGAGGGCCAACCCACTGCAGAGTCCGACCCTCAGAGCCCAACGACGGCCTTCCACGTGCTCAGGACAGCCTCAGACCGCTCCTGCAGCAGCCACCGGCGCGTCAGCACTTGATCCTCTGTCGAGCAGTGGAGCGGCAGCCGGATCTGGCTGCATCGGCAGCGAACACGGCAGCTTCGGAGTCCTCACTTGAGCTTCATTTTCTCTCCACAACAGCGTCTGAACTGGGGTACAAACAGCACACACAGGTAGCGCTACATTAGATCTCGCTCGCTAGCAGTCGCTGGAGACCTGGAGCGCTCCGCTTACCTCGCTGGCTCCGGTCGCGCGGCGACAGCTCTTGGGCGGGCGCCTTTTCGCTGCTTGCGGTTGTGTCCATTTTTGCAAAATGAGCCTTTTCAAATTGGGTCACATTTTTTTGGGTTCATTTGGTGGAAATGGGTACAATATGCAACACTTTCGACGACGTTACTTATTATAGCTCGACTGATGCGAGTCGGCCAAGGACGAGGACGTCGACGAGGTGGCGACTAGCGACTGCACTTTACTGATGCCGTATCCTCTGGCCATCTTCCTTGCGACTTCAGTCGCGTCCAGCGTCGACGCTTCATGGGCGCAGAAGACGCAAAAGGTGCGCTTGGGCTGGCGCAATTTTCCGTCGTGGGCGATCCTCGTCACTCGCTTGCGCACTTTGCAGGACCGGCACACTGCGTCGAAGCAGATTCTGCACGTTCCGCTGCCGATGCTGCCCAAGCTTCCTCTCGTCACTCGGTTGGAGCACGTCACACAGACGTTATGATCTGTCCTGGAAACTGGGCTCGGACGCTTCTGCTGCATGAGCCACGCCAACTTGGTCATCTGGCCGCACGGCTCGTAGTTGATGGCCGAGAGCAGCCCTTCAGCGGCAATGGGAGGCATGAGGAAGCGCGGCAGCTCTCCACCAGGCTCCAGAATGCTGAACGAGTGGTTGTCGATCACGTTCTCGCTCAACTGGCGGAACATACAGCAGATGGACATGTTGCCGCGCACGACGTTGGGTAGCGCCCGGGTCTGGGGGAAGTCGATCGAGTGCATGAGGTGGTAGCCGATGCGTTCCCCAGTAGCAAAGTGCAGAACGCCGGTGGCTTCCACGTAGACGGAGTCGCGGTTCTTAACGAGGTTCGTGGTCTCGAGCGGCAGGTCGCGCTGCATCCACTTGACGACGACCGAGAGAAAAGGGTCCTCCTCGGTTGGTTCGAGGATCGGGGCGAGGATGGCCGCGTCGCTCACGTCGTGGACGTACGAGGCCTTCAGGCGCATGGAGTCGAGTGTCGGGTTCATCACGCCCAGCATGAGGTCGTCCATTTGGCCAGGGAACGTCCCGACGCTCAGCATCACGGTAGTTTTGTCAGCCGGGGTGGAGCGGAGCGCTTGGCGGTCATCTCGACGCACGTGGACGTGGATATCGTTGCGAGACTTGACGTGCTTCCATTGCTTCGGGTCGACCTGGCGCTTGTCGTGCACCACAAAGCGCTGGTACTGGACGAGATTCTGCTGCACGAGCGTGTTGGTCAGATCCAGCAGCAGCGCCTGGTCTTCGTGTGAGAGCACGAGGTCTGGGTACGGGTTTGACTGGAAGCGCGCCTTCCCCATAGCAGTGGTGCTCTGCTGCTTCCGATGGTAAAAGAGTTGTGGTGCTGCGAGAGATTTGAGTGGGCGGGGGCAGCCCCTGAAGGCGGTCCAACCGCGCAGCGATCCAACCTTCCAGGCATCGCCGATCACGTGCGCACGAAGTCAAGGTGGTCATCTCGATGGGAGCCACCGTTGGGTGTGCTTGGTATCACCACTTCAAAGTCGGACAGTTCAAGGACGCCCCTGACCTTCAGCGTTTCCTAGGATATCGTGAGATGGATGACGAACCCGCGCCTGCTGCCAAACGGAGCAACGATCTACCAGCGCGAGGTACTGAACAAGACTGCGGCGCGGAAAGGGCCTGGTGTTGGCGGTCGTCAGTGCCTCGCGCAAGTGCGCACTTGCTCGCTCTCCACGTGCGTGCACCAGCGTTTCGTGTTGGCGAACGATGAAACTTCAACGGGCGACCTATCAAGCCGTAGCTCAGCTGCTGTGTCAACAGACAGACACTCGTGCAGGTACAGCTCCGAAGACAATACGCCCTACCTGATCGACTTCTTTGAAGGCGTCGGCATCGGTGATGGGATTATTTTCGCATCGAAAGCCTTATACTTTTTCGGAACGGCATGCTAGGAAACATGAAGTTGTACAGATTAATCGCAAAAAGATCGGAGACCAAGCTCCATCTGGCAACCACAAACACGCGATATCGCTGGGTGATGACAACTCTTCGACCCGAATGGTTCGGGAATCCCAAGGTATCCTTGAAGCATTCACTGTCGGCGTGATAAGGCTCCCGCCACTCAGCACCATCGTCAGTGGGGGGGGTCGACATGTAATTTATCTAGCGTCACTCCTAGCGTCGCAATGTGTCTGCTACAGTACCTACTCGCAGAGCGACGACTCGGACGTATCCGAGTGCGAGGCGGTCGAGAACGCCTTGTACGCCTCGTAGCCCACGGCTTGATCCCTGACACGGTATGGGCGACAGTACCTTGCCCTGAACGATGGGGCAGTACGGACATTAGAACTCATAAACGACCGTCCCGTCTACGTGATGCGATGCTCCGCGACCAAGACAAACTCTTCACTACATGTACAAGTACGAACACAAGAATATCGGCGATATTCGGCGATACAGTACAGTATTATATCGCCGACCCCCCTCAACGACCGCGCTCTGCTTGAAAACTGAGCCAACGGTACAAGACGAGGCGCTACTTTCTCATTAATTTAGTAATTCAGTACATTGACACTTCTGTCAAGCCCTTTGCAAGTTTCGCAACCTCGCAGTTTCTATTGGTCCGACCTTTCCAGATTTGCCGGGGCAGACTGTACTCAGATAGGCATCACAGGGACATGATCGATTTACAAATCGATCGAGCTAAATCAGGGTTCTAATCGATCGATTAATGAGCAAAATGGGCAAATTAAGCGGTTTTCACAATACATGTAAACAGGTGGCACGGACAACAGTGATCGCGTGAAAGCTAGCCACATACGCTTATCAAGTACATAATGTGCCTATCACGAATTTCCTCTCCCAGCACCAGCTTGTTGTCCCTGATGGCACCAGATAATAGCTCACAAATGACAAATCGTGCGTCGACTCCCCCTCGACTGGCTCTCACGGTGAACCAATTCGTACCAACAACTTGCCTCTCCGTGTAATACTCGTATAACGCACAACACAATACCGACCCCTCGCATTTATCACTCAGCAATTCACTTCCTACAAGCTCCTTCTCGCCCCCGCCGACTGATGCCATCCCCGAATAAGCGTCGGCGTGTACCACCCAGGTGCAGCGTCCCCGATTGCACCAAGCAGGCGCAGACGCATCGGCTGTGCAAGGCGCATGGAGGTGGAAGGCACTGCCGTGCTCCGGATTGTCAGAAGCTGGTTCAGAGTCGAGGGTTCTGTGTCGCCCACGGCGGCGGTAAACGTTGTGAGGTCAATCAGTGCGGCAAACTTGCACAGTACAAGGGCTTGTGTCTCAGCCATGGAGGAGGGCGACGCTGCCGCTTCGCAGACTGCAGCAAGTTCGTCCAAGTGCGCGGGTGCTGCAAGGTCCACTCGAAGCTCCTAGAGGCGGCGATCACGTCCACATTATCTCCGTCGAAAGAGAGCGATCCATCCACGAAGCTTACTTCAGGATCAGAGAAGCATCCGCTCACCCGAAACGGCCAAGCATTGGCCAGCTACTACCAGGACGGACGATGCGATCGTAAGTATGCCCTCATTTCAGGTGTGTGGATTCGACTACGATTTCTACACTTCCGGCTTGGAGTCACAAACGGGATTGGGTCAAGCACTGGCAATATGTGTATAGCTTGCTAGTTTTCTGGTCTTCACGGCATGTCCGGTGTTTCAGTCTTCCTCGTGAATACCCCCGATGTCTTGCCTGACTGCCCGCAAACATGAAGAACGCTGTGTGTTAGATTTCTTAATTATGGGTGCGTGTTTCTCAATACTCATACTAGGCAGTGACTAAGACACGCATATCCAGGCCGTTCCACGGCGTAGCCTACGTAATCTGGTGATGTAAGAGGAGAAGAATTTCGCGAACAAGTCAGCCTTCGACAACTAAAATGAGCTTCAAGACGAATAGTTACAATATGGCTTACTCCACAAACATGTTGACCAGATTCACTACTAACAAACAGCAAACGCTAGCGTTAACCCTTTCGCTTAACTATACAGTTATTGTCTGTGCGAGCACATCGGCTGCATAATTGCTTTGAAGTTTCCATAACCGAAGGCCTCGCAAAGAGCTGAGTTCGTATCGAACTAGGAAATGCATGTCGAGATGTTACTGTATCTCTTATCCCCGCTTTTTCTTCTGCTGCTACTGCTGCAGCCAATCTAACGTCCTCTTTTGGCAATACAATTGGCGGCAAGCTGGGCGATACAACTTGACCGGAGCGTGCTGTAGTGTCATTGCTTCCGTAAAATCCCCCTGCCAGGGAAAAGAAGCCTCTGGAACCCCACACAGCAGCGCTACCATCTTTGCCCAGCAGACAAGGGCGAACCTTTGTTGCAGACGTCGTGACTGTAACTCGCCCTCAAAAAGAGACCAAGCACAGTCGAACGGCAACCTTTGGAAGAAGACAACACCACCACACACACGAAGCCCCTGCGAAGCTTCTCTCTGCACACACAGCACGTTTCACAGCTTGCATCAGCCACCAGCCATTCCTTTGTGCTTCCCGGTGCTTGGAAGTACTTGGCGGGAGCGAGCCGAAAGGAAAGCGCACACCCGAGCCACAGCCAACCGACGTAGAGCTAAGCAGGAAACGAGATAGGAACACTGTGCATAGTGTACTCCCTAACGCTGACATGTTAGTTGCTATACATGTTAGCTAACTGTTAGTTAGTGTCTAGTATTTTGAGCTAACATGTTAGTAGCGTTAGAGCAAAAGTATGGAGAAGAGTATATGTTTGCACCGGAGGCAGCCGAGAAGGGCGATGTATCAAACTGAACACAATACACCCTAAAAACTAAGAATTTACCATCCAATCTATAATACTTTGAAGAATCTGCTAACATAGGGAAACATTTGCTGGGTGGAGCTCACATGGGGGCTGGCACACCACTTATCAGCGCAGACGATGACCGATTTTAAGAGTGAAGACGACTTAGGTGCCTCCTACCTATGTCAAAGTCCGCGGTGCAATATAGACACCCAGACCAGCTAGTAAATACGCTTTCGTACAGATTACTAAGTAATCTCCTCATGTACCCATTTTATAATGGGCCTACCTTGGCTCACTACTACGGCTTACACGTATGCGCACGTGTATGAGGAAGCGTAGGTTTCTTTTACTTGAGTTAAGTATACTCGAGATCCACGAGTATACTTTAAACAAGATAAAGACTCCAAGTAGCGGGTTTTGGTAAAAGATGAGAACTGCTATTTTTGTTTTATGTTTCTGACTTCCTCTAAATGTAATATTCTAAACTAGGAATCTGCCAACGGCTGGTTGGCAGGATTCTGCTAACATGCAAGTCACTCATTGGCTAAAAGATGCTGCTTTCAGCCAATAGGAATCCTAAATGTGTATTCGTAAATGTATGTAGCCATTGGTGTACCTTACACCAAGGTCGAGGAAGTGTTCAAACCTCTAACAGACATCGCATCTGTTAGAGTAACAAGTGACTGTAGCCACTTGTGCGTGTAACCCCGTTACGCCATCCCCCCGTCAAGGTTAGACGTGCCGGTCCCGGCACGTCAACCACCATTGACTGCTTGGTCAATGCGTGATGTTGAAGAGAGCGCGCTCGTAATGGAACGAGCGCGTCGAAGTTGAAGACCGCTGGCGCAGCAGCGGAGAACCTCTCTGCTGCCGAGTAGCATGCGCGGCAACGTGCGAAGCGCGTCGCTGCCACGGAGGCAGGTACCAATATCTGCCCTCGAAGCGCCTTCGGGTGCTGCTGTTAACAGCAGCGCTCGTATTACTTTCCAGCGTGTAGCGCATGGTGGGCTTCGTACGCCCTCACCATGTCCGGGACGTCTTCGAGCAAGACGTTCCGTGGCTCCCATGTATCTTGGTTGGGAGGTAATCCTCGCCAACCGATACGAAAACGAATCGGTTGCCTGTTCGTTCTCGGGATACTGTGACCAACAATCCACTCAACTATCCATCGCGTTGAGCCGTGTGCGTCACGAATTGGCGGCGGTGGTGGTGGAAACACGCCTCGTGTGTGGTCAACTTGGTGTTGGCCCTGATCTCGCGTCTCCCCACGACCGAGTTCCGGTCGTGGAGTAGTTCCAGTGCTGGGTTCGGCGCTCTGAAGTATCCTCAGGTTGCGGCGGCCTCCCAGGCCGCCTCGATCGTTCCGGCCGAGCTGGACCATTAGCTCGACCCGCTGCTCCAGCGCGACTTCGCGCTGGTGAGGATGACGGCTTCCGCCGAGTCTTCTGCTTCGGTTCAGCCGAGCTAGGTAGCTCGTACTGCAGGTATGGCTTCAGCCGTCCGACGTAGAACGTCGGATGGAGGCGCATACTAGACGGTGTGTCCAGTGTGTAGGCGTTGCCGTGCCGTGCCAGCACAGTGAACGGCCCGATGAAGCGCGGAGCGAGCTTGCTCGCCCCGAAGTCGGAAACTGCATGTTTAGGCAGGTTTTGAGTTGCTAACAAAACCAATGAACCCTTCTTGAATTCATTTGTGTTGCCCCTGCCAACGTTGTCTGCGTTCAACTTCTGTCGATCAACAGACGCTGCAATAGCGTCTTGGACAAACCGAATGACGGCTTGTCTGCGCTGCACGAAGTTGATTGCGTCCGCGCTGAATTCGTTAAGCTCGTTTCTAGCAGTGGGCCCGGTCTCTGCGTTCGTCTTCGCGGTGTCTGTGCCCTGCACAGACCCGTTCTTCTTCTTCTTTTTGCTCTTGTCGGCGTCTGTGCCCTGCACAGACGCGTGCTTCTTCTTCTTCTTGCGCGTAGTCGCGGCTGACACTGTGAAAGTGTCAGCGGCATTCTGCGACTGTTGCGTTGCAGTCGTAGCTCCTCCCCCACTTAAGGAAGGAGCCACCATCCCGAGTAGACTCGGGAGGCGTGGGTGCCTGATGGCATTCACGTAGAACGGTGTATGCCCGGTCGAGGCATGCACCGAGTTGTTGATGGCGAACTCCGCCATCGGCAGGCACTCGCTCCAGTGTTGGAACGAGTGAGCGTAGCTCTTAAGCACGTCTACGAGCACGCGATTCACGCGCTCGGTCTGCCCGTCCGTCTGCGGATGGTCCGCAGTCGACATCGAAAATTGACTCCCAAGAAGTGTAAACACTTCTTGGCAAAGGTGTGCAGTGAAGCGCGGGTCCCGATCCGACACAATGTCGATCGGCATGCCATGGTGTTTGAACACCATGTCAACGAACAGACGCGCCGTCTGCTTCGCAGTCACTTCAGCGGGTACCGCAGCAAGATGTACCATCTTGCTGAAGCGGTCAACAAAGACCACAACGCCCGTGTTCCCCTGGCTGTCCGGGGGAAGACCGAACACGAAGTCCAAAGACATGGACTGCCAACACTCTCGTGGAGTTGGTAGTGACTGCAAGGGAGCCTGCGCGAAAGGCGCAGGCTTCACACGTTGACAAACCTCGCAAGCACGGACGTACTTGCGCACCCATCTGTACTGGTGGGCCCAGTAGAAGTCTCGCGTGAGAAGAAGGTATGTCTTCTCACGGCCCGGATGCCCCGCAGTCGGTGCATCGTGATACTTGTACATGATCCTGAGTCGCAGGCCATGGTCATTGGGCACGACAACGCGGACCGCGTTGTCGTCGACTGCACTATAGAGTAATAACCCGTCGTGCACCCGATAACGGTGTGCACGAGCACGAAGATGCTTCGGCAACTTCTGACGAGCTTTGTCAGAAGGCGCTGAGCCGTAGACCAGCAAGAGCTTCGCGTCCGCGTCGTGCGCGTACGCGACCTTCACGTCGTTCAACAGTGACGACGTTGGGGTGCTCGATCGCATGGCGTCAATGGCATTGACGTCGGCATCAGTCGTGGCGTAGTCAGGTCGACGCGAGAGCGCGTCGGCCACCACATTGAGTCTTCCGGGTGTGTACTCAACCCGGAAGTTATACTCTGCGAAGAATGAGAGCCATCTCGCCATCCGTTGCGAGATGTGCTGCGACTTCACAGCCGTCCGCAGCGACGCGTGGTCCGTATAGACCACGAACGGTTTGCTTCCGAGTAGATACACTCGGAACTTCGCAAGTGCGTACTTCATGGCAAGGAGCTCCTTGTCATGAACCGGGTAGTTGCGCTCAGGTGGCTTCAGCTGACGCGATTGGTAGTAGACGACACGGTCACGGCCCTCGTGATCGTGCTGCATCAACGCACATCCGATTGAGAAGTCGGATGCGTCGCACACAACGTGGAACGGGCGATCTTGGTCGGCCACCGCCAAGATCGGTGCTTCCGTCAAGCCCCGCTTGACTGCATCAAAGGCCTGCTGACACTCAGCAGTCCAAACCCACTCGGCGTCCTTCTTCAGGAGCTGTGACAGCGGGCGTATCATGCCCGCGTAGTCCTTCACGTACTTGCACAAGTACGTGGCCAAGCCAAG